GAGAGAGAGAGAGAGAGAGAGAGAGAGAGAGAGACAGAGAGAGAGAGAGAGAGCGCGCAGCCGACAGTAATTTACGTAATGGGCGCCTGAAATTTTTATGCGATCCGTGATCTTCGTGACTGACACTTCGTGGAGTTAGCGATAATGTATTATTAATGAATGCTCGCTCTATTTTTGTGTGCATTCTATTCTCGTTGCTGTTATCTATTGTTTGGTTTCGCGTTTGATGTGAGCGGAAAGAGGAACGCGTCACGGGTAAACACGAAAGAGGGTGTCTGCAAATGCAGCTGCTACGCGGTCACGCGGTGTGTTTCTATAGAAGTGAAAGTGCAGTAATAATGTCTATCCGTTATATGCGAGCTAGCTGGTTTCGCTGGGTCGTGTATACTGTTGCGTGTAAACGTTATGTGATGGCATTGATGGGTTCCCTGCGTTCCACTTTCTCTTGCTATATATATATATGTATATATATATTTGCACACACACAAAGAGATATAACAAGTATGTGGGTCACTAGAGTGACATGAGTACTCTCTGTTACTCGCGCATTGTATCGTATTGTATCGTGTGCAGTTAAATGCTGCGTAGTGAAGCGACGCGCCATAGACCAGTATAGATGCCATCCTCTCACTGTTCGAACGCGTCATCAATAAAACACGATGTTCGATTAGGCCTGCAATTATCCCATAGTATAATAGCATTATCATTATATATTGGTAGGTGTGCGCTCAGGCTTAAAATTCGATGCCAGGTCGCGAACCATTTTGTAAAAGACTGGTGATAATAGGAAACTGGTTATATAAGGAGTAGAGCTATTTTCGTTGGGCGTTCTAAGACCGTTATAGATTTATTGAATAATAGCAGAGTTTACTAATAAGCGATAGTTGCACGTAGTAGCCATTAGATACTAACCCTATAATATGCGATGTATATTATATATATATATATATATAGCTAACAGAATGCGTAGATTAGGTCTCTATGTAATAACATTCATATATATCAAACCTCGCATCCAAGTACGTAGTTAACATTAAATATAGCTAACCTAGATTTTAATCTACCCCTTACGTGTAGCTAATGTATTTAGCTAACCGTAAATCTTTACCGTTGCTACTCACGGTGATTGCAGAAGAATCTGCTAAGTCAACTCAAAGATCAGCAAGTAAAAGAAAACACGCTTCAACTGCGGAAGCAAAAAATGGCAGAGGAGCGCAGAGCAAAGGCGAGAGAGGAGGCGGAGGAGGAGGAACGCGCCGTTAGAGAAAGAAAGGATTCTGCCGAAGAGAGATTGAATCCGGAGGAGAGTCCGACAGAATTAGAAAGGCGACAGGAGAGGAGGAGACGGCGTAAGGAAGCCAGACGGCAGCAGAATCCCATGATGACGAGTCAAGATTCTGGACACGAGTCCGATTATACGACCGAGGACGAGCAGGCAAAGGCGAAGGTATAGCTGTAGCATAATAGCGTACGGTCAAGTGTGTGGGTGATATAGTTCCCCGATATCGCATGGATACACCTACAGACACACGGACGGGGTGCAGGGAAAACTGTCGGGCACACGAACGGAGGGAGAAACAAAGGGGAGGGGAGGGACTGACCGACGGTTTGGCGGGAGAATGGACAGACGGGCGGACTAGTGGGAGGAGCGATCCACGAACGAAAATGTGGAGGGGCGGACTATCGGATGGACGGATGGAAGGAACGATCCACGAGCGGAAGGATAGATAAACGTAGGGATAGACAGACGGATGGATGAACGGACGGACGGACACTCGGCTGGGTAGACCGGCGGAGGGGCGGACGGTGTGAGACAGGAACAAATGGGCAAACCCACAGATGAACAGATTCACGGACATGGTTACATGAATATGCTAGTAAATGACATTCTATTAGTAGTAACATTCACAAACCCATATCACAACATTCACAAAATAAATCGTATAGACATATATAATCATCGTGATGTCGAGAACAACTTCAAATATGTTTTTTCTATCTTCTGCTTACTTTTTGAAGTCGAAGAACAATAGATCGAAGCCAGCGGCCTCCGAGGAGCAGCAGACGGGAGAGCTATCGGCTGCGAACACGTCATCGGACAGTCGGCCCGCGAAAACCCAACGTAAAAAACAGGCAAGTTTTTTTTAAACAACAAACTGTTGCCGAGCCCTGCAGTTCCTCAAAGAGCTGCTCTTTAAACTGAATTCACAAGCGCAATTCTATGATTTACGCGCATACGGGAACTGTAGCTAAACGTGTGTACAATCGAAAAGGAACCTTTGGACCTCGTGATGGAATCATGGAAGTGATATACGCTTGTCAGAAAACGTCTTGCTGCGTATTTAACATGATAATAAGCTGCATATGCAAATAATGTTACCGTCGTACGTGTAACGTAATTGATCATGAACAGTTGTCTTATGCTGGAATTCTTACTCGTTGGAACTAATTACTATATGCCGCTTGTATTGACATAGACGTTTCGTGTATTTCAGACAAGAAAAAAGACTAAAGAACACAAGGCGGAGTCTGGCGGGGCGACAGCGCTGGAGCAGTCGTCAGCGTCTAGCGTCCTCGAAGCGGAGAAAAAACCAGTAAAACAGAAAAAAGCCAAAACCGTGAGTGTAAATGCCAATAACATGCATCGCCAATAATTCTTAGAGCTATACGACGCTTGAGGCCAACTGTTTACACTAGTATCACAGCAGCTGAGATGATCTTAGAATTACATAATTAAAATGGGCTAATTGCTCTTTAGAAGAGAAAATGATCTGTAGAAATAACTACATACGCCCGCTCGATATAGCCATTCACACCAAAGCAGAAATCAGAGTTTTGGAACCTTTGTCTGTTTTACATAAGCCTTATTTTTTGTAACCGTCGTTGTAAAGACTAAAGAACACAAGGCCGAGTCTGGCGGGGCGACATCGCTGGAACAATCGTCAGCGTCCAGCATCCTCGAAGTGGAGAAAAAACCAGTAAAACAGAAAAAAGCAAAAACCGTGAGTGTAAATACAAACTGCATCGCCAATAATCCTCGGAGCTATATTACGTTTAAGACCAACTGTTTAAACGAGTATCACAGCAGCTGAGATGATCTTAGATTTATATGATTGACATAAGGTATGCTAATTGCTCTTTAGAAGAGAAAATAATCTGTATACATAGGTACATACGCCCCCCCCCCCCAATATAGCCATTCACACCACAGCAGAAATCGGAACCTTTGTCTGTTTCACGTAAGCCTTATTTTTTCTAACTGTCGTTCAATTACAGAAGAAGGCGAAAAAAACTAAAACAGTCGACAAGATGGCGGCCGTCCAGCTGACGGAGGAGGCGGCAGCGACCAGGATCCAGGCGCGATACCGCGGACACGCCGTCAGGACGCATCGTGTCGCAGTCGATAAAGTTGTCGACAATGCGACAAACGACGAAAAGACTGTCGTCGGCGAGGAAAGGGAGAGCCAGCAAGAACCGGTGCGTTATAAAAGAAATTATGAAGCCAATGCTGAAGCTAATAGCGATGATTTCTCTCCCTTGATTTTCCCATCTAATCAAGAGCTAATAATACCTAGGTATTATTAGCTCTTGATCTAATGTATATGCTTGCTCACCAATACAATCATCGCATTCAGAGTGAACATTGACGAATATATCAATGGTTCCCTCGCTATTGCCGGTGTTGACCGCTGTGGGTAGCTAGCGTGGACCAACAAAAGCATTGCAAAAGATTCAATAAACAAGGGCATGATGATGTGTTCGCTCACTATCACCGGTGTTGTTCGCTGCTGGTAACTAGTCTAGTCCAACAAAAATCACTCAAAAATATATGAGGGTTTCTCTCACCATCATCAGAATAGAGAGCTGGTGCTGATAAAACATTACAAAAATATGTAAAGATTCCGCTCACTATTACAAGTATATCGAGCTGATGCCGATAACACATTAAAAAAATACATGAAGGTTTTCGCTCACTATCACTAACATACTAAGCTGATGATGGCATAACATTGAAAGAAAAAATGTATAAAAGTAACGCTTGCTATCTTCATCGTTTCCCTGCTGCCTGTTAGCTAGCTAGCGAGTCCCTGCTTGTATGACACGTCCTCGTCACACAGGTAACTGAAGAGCAAAGAACGCGGCAGGCCGCCACGCGCATACAGGCAGGCGTGCGCGGTCACATTACACGCAAAAACCTCCGACAGCAGAGACAAAAGCAGGAGGAGGAGGAGGAGGCTGAGAGGTACCGGAAGGATGCTGCCGCCACGAAGCTACAGGCTGGCTTTAGAGGATCACAGGTCCGGCGGCAGAGGAGGGATGACAATCAGAGGAAGCAGCTGGGGAAGGAGAAACATGATGAGCAACCGGGAGAAGGAGCAGCGAAAGAGGCGCAGCGGAAGGAGAGAGACGATGAAAAAGGGAGGGAGAAGGACGATGCGGTGTCGAAGAAGACGGTACGTTTATCAACAACTAGTTTGTAGTGCGTGTGCTGTCACGGGTGGTTTGCTGCCATGTTGCAGCAGTGGAAGAGAGGAAAGAGGCATGATAACATTAGTACAACGCGAATGACATATAGATATGCAACATACACGAGTGTGGAAAAGTATGTAGAAAAAAAACCAAATACAGCAAGTTACGTTTTGATCTACGTATTGTCTGCTGATCGAATGGCAGCCCCATGACAATCAAGGCGTCTTATTCTACCTTCGTCTTCTTCACTTAGAGAAAGAAGAAGCGTTTGGCGAAAAATATCCCTCCCTTTGGAACGTTTAATTATTTATAAAAAAAATGAACATCATTGCTCCGATATTTTCCCGCCAGAAAATGTTTCGTCACGGGCCCTATGTAGGCTGTCACTCACCTTGGTGCCTGTCGCCGAAACCTACTAAATAATTCATGCGTCAGTTTTTGCGTTTCGGTATTTCAGCACAAAACATGCGAACAACAAACGCGCCCCTCTTTTCAGAGATATTTACATCGATATTTGCATCGACGCGTATAACTTTACTCGTTTGCCGTCATTCGGCAGTGAGCGAGTAGGTCGATGAGGATATGTATGTTTAACGCCTCTGTGTGTGATCACCAAACATTAACACTTCTACTATATCTAGAAAATTATGCTATAACACTTCTACTATATCTATATACTATGACACTTCTACTATAACTATATACTCTAACACTTCTACTATAACTAGCACCCGCGTATCGCATTATCACATCACAGCGATTCTTCTTGGAGATCGTTACCGTGGCGGCAAAGTTTCGAAAAACAACCGTGGGTTTTTCGCCGACTGGTTTAAAAGAGCTCTTATAGTGTGTTTAGCGCGGCAAGAGGATGGTATCATTTTCGCGTGTCGTGCGTTGATCGTGGATGCTCTAGACCTATCTCAAGATCGCGTTGGAAACCACATGTAATAGTGAGTGATAACATGACAGTATATACTAGTTATTACACATAGCATCCGTCCACGTATACTAAAAGTTACGCAGCTTGTCGATAATCATGCGAATAATCTTTTACACTATTTCTGTTCGTATATTAATTTCTCGCAGAGTATAGGTGCGTTGGTAGAATGTTATTGCTCCGCCGGTTGTAAACCAGGCTAGAAATGCGCAGACTAGGAATTAAGCGCGTTAGTGATTTTGCAAATCCTACCGTTATTATTGTCAGAGGATATTTCCCTTAGGTTTTTACACACATCTCCTATTATTCACCATGTTGGACTTAATGTATATATATATATATATATATATATATATATATGGCCATACACAAATATCTTGATAAAAATTGGTAGATTGTGTTAATATAATCCGTTGTGTTAGTTTGAGTGGACAAATTAAATTGCTTGGTTTGCAACGCCCTTTGAGTTGTATGGACTGCTGTCATTTTACTGTGGCGACTGCCTATTGGGAGAATATATTAATTTTCAAGCTGCTGTGAATGAGTCTGGGCACATAACACCCACACGTCACATGATTCGCTCTTTCAAAGAAGGGATGGATGTGCATGTAATGATTTAAAGAGAATCTGCTAACCGTTTGCCATCAGAATATTCATTTAGATTTCATTTTAACTTGGGAAAAACGTAAGTACCTAAGTAGTTTCGTCCTTCGTAAGCCTGTGTTATATATACGTGGTATATATATATATATATATATATTGAACATTTCTATTTTGCAGTCGATAGAAAAGAGTGAGAAGGCTGCAGTCAAAATACAGGCCGGGTATCGTGGGTTTAAAGGCAGACAGCTAGTGAAAGAAAAGCGGGTACGCATCGATTAATAATGGTCCGGTAATTGAATAAGTTAATACCCATATTACCAGGAGTAAGATAATATAGATTCTATATTATCTTACTCCTGATATTACTAATACTATTACTAACGCACATACTACTGATACCTGCGGAAACTGCTACTACCGACGTGCGCATGTGCGTATGCGCGAACGCAAGCACGCACGCACGAATGCACGCACGCACGCACGAACGCACGCGCGAATGTACACATGAACACACGCATCCCGCGCGCACGCACTTACACACGTTTAATTAAATCCTACATTTTGGGGTTATCAGTCAGCGATGGATAACACCGAGAAAGCAGCCGTGAAAATACAGGCTGGATTCCGTGGCTATAAAGGCAGGAGGCAAGCTAAGGAAGAGCGCGTCATTAGAAAGGTACGCGTCATTGGTCTGCACCTCATATGTACGAACATTTACACTCACATCTCTGTATTGTTCAGTTCATGGCAACACTGGTACCATGGATGACTTGGCACATATATTGATTGTGTAGGTGCATTTGTATGCGCCAAACTACATTTTTGATACAAACAGCAATATGACGTTTAGGTTACACGTGAAATAACTAAACAAATGATACAATAATCACTTTCTTCCACTACAAACGTCCCTATCATCGTTTATTTGTTGACTGTGTACTTACTACTACTATTTACCATGTCGCCGTGCATTCCAGTTCACGTTCCCAAAGACCCACGGAACGATCGTAGAAGGGGCCAACTTTCGGCCGGCGCAGGAAGCTACTTCTTTACAAAAGTTTCTGTATTCGAAGAGTAAGTTTTGTTAGCATACGGTCGAAACTATCTATGTCGGGATACCTTACGCTCGGATAAATGATAAGCCAGTACATTCACGTTGTAAATCAAATAAACGTAGGAACCAGCGAACGAACGAACGAACGAACGAACGAGCGAGCGAGCGAACGAGCGAACGAACGGACGAATGAACGAATAAACGAGCGAACGATCAAACGAACGACCGAACGCGCGAACAAACGAACGAACGAAACTCCCCCCATCTGAACACGATGAAGATTCTTCACAAAATGCACACAGTAATTAGGGAAGCCAAACCGATGGGTCATAACCGCGAATTGTCTATATATGTACATAGCTACTATTTATCGTCTTTATCTCGCAGAACCTAACATCAACGGGCTCACGGGCTTGTTATCGACGCGGAATAACGCACAGAGGCAGACCATGAAGGACAACTACCAGTCAAGGTTCCTCAAGGTGAGTGAAACCTCCAGCGACACAGAATTATCATATAAAACCGCACACGATTTCGTATCCGACGCACGCACAATTCCACAATTTAATAATTTGACGTGCACACTTGTTTGCGGTCTTTGTAATTATCGTAACCATCCCCCAAATTACTTGCCTCATATTGACGGCCCTTTTTCCAGCTGCTACTGAATGTAGTATGAGGTTTTACTTGCACGGGTATCTTTTCTCGAGGTTTAAAAGCCGAATAGATGGCAATATCGTACTCGTAGTATATTTAATTTCAACCGTTCTAACACGCTTCTATCACGAGAAAACGTACAGGTGTGCCAAAAACCTTATATAAAACAGTCTGATTTCCTGACCGACAAACAAGAGCAACCATGTACTTCAAACGAAGTAATCATTTTTATTCAATAAAATTAATGACTAAACGATGAATAAATAAATAATTAATTAATTACATAAATAAATACATAAATAAGTTAATATATAAAAAAATAAATAAATAAATAATAAAAAATAAAAAATCACTATACTGACGAACCTACCCTTCACGTATAGGATCTCCTCGAGGAGGCACGGTCGGCAGAGCTATCCGGTAACTTCCAGGAGCTTGCCATCGCGCTGCTCATGCAGACAGCCGACTACGACGCGCACTGCATCAGTGAGGCCGTGTCGGGCATCGGTACCAACGCAGCCATGCTCACCGAGGTGATGTGTACGCAAGAGGCTGCCGACATACACAACCTAACACAGCAGTACAAGAGCAGTGAGTATATACTGCAACTATATGCTACCTAATGCATACCACCCTCTAAAGTAATTGCTTAATCTCGACCCAAAGTTATTTCCGTTGGGCGGCAGGTCGCCGACGTGCCCGCGCCTTATCCCTGTACATTGGTATAGCAAGGGACCTTCGGCAGAGCAGTGCCACCACATTGAAGTAGCAAAGCTGAAATTTTCGATGCGCACCTTCTCTAGGCATGCCACCCTCTAAATTAAATGCTAAACGTCGGCCCTAAATCATTTCCTTTGGGCGACAGGTCGCCGACGTGGTCGCGCCTTATCCCTGTACATTGGTATAGCAAGGGACCTTCGGCAGAGCAGTTCCACCACATTGAAGTAGCGAGGGTGCATTCTTCGATGCGCACCTTCTCTAGGGATGCCGCCCTCTAAATTAAATGGTTAACGTCGGCCCTAAGTTATTTCCTTTGGGCGACAGGTCGCCGACGTGTCCGCGTCCTATCCCTGTACATTAGTAAAGCAAGGGATCTTCGGCAGAGCAGTGCCACCAGGCCCACCACATGCCGCCCTCTAAATCAGTGGTTTTTAACCTTTTTTGAGTCATCGACCTTTTTCAGAATCTGGTGAAAGCTACGGTCTCCTCTCCAGAAAAATGCTCATAAATACATAAACACAATAATTTTTATGCGCCTGGTTCACGGACTCCCTGAAGCCCATCCACGGACCCGGAAGGGACCAATGGACCAAAGGTTAAGAACACCTGCTCTAAATTAAATGCGTAATCTCGGCCCTAAGACATTTCCGTTGGGCGACAGGTCGCCGACGTGTCCTAGTCTGACCCTCTGTTATGGACACAGTCTGGGTAAATTAGATTCTATAAAATTATATAAATGTATATTTTAATGATATACACGCATTTTTCGCACAGATACTGGGCATGCACGCAACCCAGATCTCAGCCTGTGCAACAATAGTAAATTTTCGACATTTTGAGAGTGCTTGTCAGGCCAATAATTGTGTTCGCGCAAGCGCAATAGCTTCCAAGAGGAATTATATTTTGTGAAAATTATACATTTAAACCGGAGCAGGGGGATCCGATGAGAGATAACCGTGGTTAATGTCTATGATTAGACCTCTGTTTATGAATAGGAGCAAGCCCTAGAACGTAGGGTACCCGCGACAGATACTTTCTTACCCCAATCTGGCTAGATTACTGCTTATAAGTGTATAATTGCAAGATATACTCGGATTTTTCGCAGGTACTGTGCATGCACGCACCCAGATCTCAGCCTGTGCAGCAATAGTAGATTTTCGCAATTTTGAGTCTGCTTGTCAGGCCAATAATTGTGTTCGTGCATGCGCAATTGCTGTCGAGAGAAATCATGATTTGTCAAAATTATCTATTTAAAATGGCGAAGGAGTTTTCGAGATTATTTTCGAGATATAGGTAACAGTATCCGGACTGTACGTATATAGAGAAAACCAAATAATATTGTAGTGATAATTGAGAAG